AAAGTAAATTGTTTTTCCAATATCTACCTCGTGTGAACTTGCTATCACATCCCCATAGAACCCGATGATATTCCTAAAAAGACCATCACTAACCCTTTCGGACTATTCGAATTTATTCTTATGCCGTTTGGCTTGACAAATGCTGCCCAAACATTCCAAAAATTTGTAGATCAGGTATTTCATGGCTTACCTTTCGCCGGTGAATACATAGATGACTTAGTAGTAGCTAGCGCATCTGAAACAGAACACCTGCAACATGTGAGGAAGCTTTTCGAACGACTGTGTGCATGTGGCATTACAATCCGCAGAAGTGCGAATTTGGCAGAGAATTCCTACAGCTTTTGGGTCACATCGTTAATGCCAATGGTGTTAAACCGGTTCCGTAGGAAGTAGATACAATCTGAGGATGTCCTGTTCCAGACTCTTTTAGAAAGCTACGGAGGTTCCTAGGGTTGATAGACTTCTCTCGATGCTTCAAACCTAAATGTGCTGAACTAGCCCAACCACTGACAGATTTGTTACAAGGATGAGCCCGTGATGCTCTCTGACTCTGAATTCCGAAACGCTTCCCTCTCTTTGTGACTCAGAGGCACCACTAGCAGTCATGGTAGACGCCTCAAATGTTGCAGCAGGCTCAGTGCTACAACAGTTTGTCCACGGCCAATGTGAACCATTATCGTTCTTCTCGAAACGGCTTGGTCCTTCTCAATCGCGAAACAGTACATTTGGCAGAGTTACTTATCGATCAAGGATTTCATATATATGCTTGAAGGGTACGCATTGTAGTACTGAACAAAAGCCACTCACAAAAGCAATTGACGAAAAGCATGACAACTACTCGCAGCGAGAAATTCGACGTTAAAAAGTTTATTTCACAATTCACTTCAGATATAGGGTATGTCAAGAGCAAGAAAAATGAGGCACCCGATGCTTTGTCTCATGTGTACGTAAACATCTTAGAACGTGACTATATTGACCCGGCTGAAACGACGAAGTGGAAGGCGATGGATGGGGACTTCAAACACTTGAAAGGCAATACGAACACCTTATTAGGTCTCGAAGAAGTGGTGCCTGGTGACTCTGTATCCATCACCTGCGAAGTATTCAAGAGTAAACCACATGCGTCTGTGTCTGTCTCGATGGGACGATTAGTCTTCTCTAAGATGCATGGCATTTCACATCCTGGTATTCGAGACAAGGGGAAGTCAGTTACCGACCGAAAATGAGTTGAGATCTTCGACAGTGGTCCAAAGCTTCTTTAGCTTGCCAGAAATCAAAAGTGCGGTGACATACTCTTTCACCTATCGGAAGATTTCCCGCACCGGATGGCAGATTTGACCATATACACCTTGACGTCGTTGGACCACTACCCCGTCAAATGGTTTCAGCTACGTTTTAACATGTGTCGACAAATTCACAAGATGGCCAGTAGCAATAACTCCGCAGGATATATCTACCGAAACAATAGCGAGAAATATCATACAACACTGGATTTCTGGCTTTGATGTCTCAAGTTTCATCGCCACAGATAGAGGAGCGCAGTTCAGGAGAGTCTGTTTCAAAGATTAATCGAACTTGCCGGGAAAGCTCATGAGACCCACTGCGTACCACTCTGCATCCAGTGGTATCGTTGAAAGTTTCTATCGACAACTGAAAGCAACAGTGATGGAAGTAAAGATTGATGACAAGCGGAGTGACGAATTGCCACTGGTACTCCTTGGTATACGTTCGAGTGTCAAGCAGGACATTGGCTGCTGCACTGCTGAGTTGGTTTATGGAACTACTTCGCGATTGCCAGGGGGAGTATTTTAACCCATCGAACTTGACTAACTATGTACAACAACTACGGCGATATATGAGCACACTGTGACCTCAGTCCCCACGATACAGAGACAACCACGTGTACCTACCCCGTTGCATCTCAAACTGCACTCACGTTTTTATCTGACACGACGGCGTAAGAAAACCTTTACAGCCCCCGTATGAGGGACATAACTGCTAAATCAGACAAAGTTGTCACCGTCGAACGCTCCGGTAGACAGAAAACGGTCAACACTGACAGAATCAAGCCAGAGTCTGTGGAACTAGACGTCACGGATGTCAAGTCTTAATCCACAGTGAAGCGACCGGAAGCACCAAAAACCACCATCAAAACGGAAACAACTGTGTCGGAATTTCCAACAACTAGCGACGGTAGCAGAACGGCAAGGTCTGGAAAGGGAGTCCGTCGGTCACAACGTTACCTTCGGACAATTTACTTGTAATAAAACCGATTTCCTAGTAACACTATAACCGCTTTTTCTTCATTACCTTGTCGAAAATATGATTACACTATTTTGTCGGACTTTTCTGCATGCACAAAAAACATTTTCCCCCAGCACCGCTGACTTCCGAGTGTCTTATTTCTTGACAGTGTTCCGGGTATTACTATTTTGGTTGTTATTTTTATCTCCGGATATATTATTACTTCACTAAATTTATTTTAGTGTTTTGGATATCATACACTTCATTTTTATATAAGTAATCTTCCAGTCAGTTTCCATCCACATAATAGATATCCCCAACATTCCCTGTTTTGAACATCTTCAAAATGAATTAACCTTTGTTGTAACATTTGATATGGAACACACATTTCTTTCCTATATCTGTACTCTGGGAGGTATTGTGGATATACTTAACGACTCATAATTGAACATTGCATTTAGTTGTACTGAAGAAAATTTCTTTGGCCTGCTCGTTGACCAATAAAATATCCTGATATATACTTCGTGTTAACTCCTGATATTTACACTGTCTGACACAAGTTGTGTCAGGAATAATAAACAGGCGATAGTGTCTCTGGACGTGTATATAAATCTGGAGTCAGATTTCAGAGCTGGACAATGTAATATGTCCATCAAGAAGACATAGGACTGATTGGAGTCCGAATGATAATAGTAATGGAAGAGGGTCGGCGCTGAGTTGACAGATTATTGAGTTGTTGTGTCAAAGAAAAACATGAGACTCCCTTCTATGATAAGTGTTCACCGATTGCCAGATCAAAGACTACATTGCTGCGGTTGCTGCTGCCGATAGGAGTCTGAACGCGAATGCATTCTACTAGCAGATGGTCAGTGGTTGGGAGAAAGTTCTCATTTGATGACTTTCTGCTGTACCATAAACCAGTTCCATCGCCTATGTTTTCACATAACCCAGTTCTTCTGATCGCATTTATCGGATTTTGATAGAACCTCCAGGTTGTGCTGTTTTGCATTAGGCTGAGAGTCGAAGAGTTAAAATGCCCCACGGCGATAATTTGGTCGTACCCCATAGTCGACACCAAGGATATTCATGTTTTTGTTGTGTTCCCTGAACTGGACGGTTCAATTGCAGAGCTCTCATTGTCTTTCTAGACAGCACTGTCAGCACTAAGTTCAGTATGAAGTGAGCTATCAACATCTCTGAGTAAGTGATTCAGTGGCTTGGCCTGAAGAACTGGTTTGTGAACGGTTCTTTCCTTTGTTCCGTGTGTTATTGACTGCATACAATTTCTCGTTCAGTATCCCTCTGCTTGACCTCTGATCTCTGTTATTTATCATTTTTCTTGTTGATTGATAGATTGAACATGCATCTGTACATCTACTGATTGCTGCTCGGTGTGAGTGTCAAATTTTCGGAAATCCAGGACAGTCAACGATCAATAGATGCATAGACAGCCCCAGTCTATTAGCCAATAAAAAGTGATGAACAGTGAAGAAGTGAAGGTCAACTGAAGGAACAGTGAAAGCTGTATGGTTAAACCAGCTGGTTTACAAAACACAACACGACCAAGATCACCCACTCCAGCTGCAAGTATTCTCTACCATTTCAAAACCTTAGGTATTGCTTGAAGTAGCTGTTGATCTTGGTCTAAGTTGCTGGTAGGGGGTCGATAAACTCCTCTCACCTCACAACTAGTGCATCTGACTGCGAAGTGGCACCAGATTGACCCTGAGAGATCGGCCAATACGGCATCAGTAGCCAATTCGCTTTCGAACTGGTTAGTCATGCATATTGCCACCTCACCCACCCTCGTGTTTTTATTGTCTCTCCTAAAAAAAGTACGTACTGTCCGCACATGCTTCAGTGTCACTAATGTCCTACAGTAGTCAGGTTTCCACCAAGACTACAGTTTTCGAAGCACGACGTGAACAGAGAGATCGTAACTTTATCATCTCTCCTTGGAATCCATCCGTATCAGTGTAGAGACATTTGTAGGTGCTTCTCACAATGTGAAGAGGTTCCGTGGTGGCTTAGAGTACTGTCCGGTCAAGGATGTTTCCCGGGGTAATTTTTAAATCAAGGTTACCAGTGTGGTACTCGTCGTATCAGTGTACAGTAATACTGGCCTCAGCATAGAGGAGAACTCTTGTTTGCCGTTGTGACAGCGGTTCAGGCTTGCTTTCACGAAGATGACAACTAATACCGATGGTGTCTTGTAGTGTAACTCATCCCCAGGACCAAGTCGTAGTACGCCATGCTCATAAAGACTAGAAGCATTTCCTCACTGAGGTATCATAAACATCTGTTTTGTAACATACTTCATAAGCTTACACTTCAAATTTAACCAGGTCATCCAGGCTGACTTGTAAACCGTTTAATTCGCTAGTCATTTTCTAACACGAATTTCCCAAAGGCTCCCTGTTGTTGTCTCTCTATTGTTATTTTACTGGCTACGAGCCTTACAGATTCTTGTGGGAGCACCAAGTTGTCAAAACTAAGCATGTCAAGCTTCTTCAGATCGTGTCTTTCCAGCTGTTAGAGTCTATCCCCCACAGTCCTTTTTGCCTCATTCAAAAATGCTTGACCGTTTCATCCTTCATGCTTTATCTTTTAACGCATGGACCAAACAGTCGAGTAATGGTTTCAATGAGCCTCATAGTGACTAGTTTACGTTCGGTCTGACTACCACTCTATGTCCCTCATCAACAATTGTCCCCGAACTCTTCCTTGGGATCACTAAGATATCTTTCGAATTCTGTATGATAGCCGACGAAGTTACCTCCTTGATCACTGGGCAAAAAGCTTACGGCGCACGACTTTATTTAACAAATCTGAGTAAGGTAAGCATAAATCAGTTGGTCAGGACAGTATGAGGATTTCACTAGGCATGCTTCCTGTCCTGAAAGAATTGAACATGTATTCATATCCTTTGCTTATAGATCTCCCTCCGCTTAATGAGAATCGACGGAGTAAATCGATACCAGCGCGCTCAAAAGCATACTCCCCTTCATGCCCCTTTCTGGGCTGTCTATGATGTCATCACCCATTTGGCAAACTAGTCCTCTTTTGGCTCGCAACGCAAACATGAAGTCGGGAAAAAATTTCATCGACACGTGCTAACAGTGGCTGTAGCAAGCGGAAGCAGCTGTGGTTTACATTTCGCAGACGCAAAAAGATGATGAACCATCGTTTCTACATCTGCGTGGAAGTATGTCTTCTTCATGTGACTGTGACTGAATATCCTTAGGGCACCTTGTCTAGTTTTCAGGTGACCAACCAGAAACCAATGACAAACTGAAGCATGTGTCTATCATTAATTTGTTTTATTTTTGAAAACGCGCTTAATTTTCTTCCTACTTCGTGCCTGAATTAACGCCACCGGCGTAGACCTACCAAAACTTTATGATGTTTTCATGAACAGTAATTGAGACCGACTGGTAGTTCGCGGAATGACCTTAACAGACTTGAGTTCAGCATTAGTTAGGTCGAAATATTCAGTCGAATACTTATAGCGAGCCACGTTTTACGGGTGTCTAGAATTCAGAAAAACCCATGTATTGGAAAAAAGCCCTACGAGATAAGGGTGAACGACGACAATGAAGAATGGGCTCTATTTGGTATGGCCTATGATAATTTCTCGGTCATCCGGCACACAAAATCCCCTGTTGAGAATGTTAGCAGCAGACGCTCATTTCGGCTACGTCAACATCAGTATTGTGGAACCCTTACCTAAATTTAATGAACATACCCATTTCTCCATCTGTGTGGGCACTTTATAGCTTATATTATCGTCAAAACATACGCGACATACCTCAAAAGACCGGGACAACCGATCATGTGTAGCCGTTCTCTTATGGATAACTTCAATCTTTACCTGCATTCCTAGGTTGCACTCGGCTCCATATGAAAGACTACCATCCATATCAAAACGGTATGATAGAGGGATTCCATCAACATTTAAGGGCTGAGACTCTCGCCACAAACACGCCTCAGTGGACACAACGATGGCCCATATTCTTGATGGATATCCGGAACCCTATAAGAGCTGATGATGGGTGAACTTCTGCAGGTTTCGTCAACGGGATCACTTCCCATCATTTCCAATCTAAGTGTGCATCCACTTTAGATGCAAAGTCCTACTACATTGGGCTTAGGATATGATAACACACAAAATGATGTAGACAAATAAGCATTTCGGGTATTTTACTTCTTGTCGAACGATTTGTCTTCATAGTTGAACGACATTAACGTCCTTACTTACTCTCTCCATAATTCGGCACCTACGTCGAAAGTCTTGCAAGGCATTTTAATTTCACCACCAACACAGCCTGATCACTTAGTTACATTACAACCAACAAGTATGAAAGCAATAGCAGGCAGTCGATTCCTTGGAGACAAGATCGGAGACACGCAAATGGCTTATTCTTAAAAAGATGCTGAACAATTCAATAAGAAACGAACAATGGAAAGACTAAGTAGGAGTCAATAGTTTACAGTGTTCACACTTAGTGCCAAAATAGTTTAAGGTCTAAGATAAATCGGCAGCTACCAGTTAGATTATTCGTCGGGGTTTTTGTGGCTACCTTTACTCTTACAAGTGTTGTTCTGATAGGCAGTCACCCCCAGTCCACACCATTAATGAAGCCAATAATAATTTGTTTCGAATAGTTATTTAGGGTCAGATAAGTGAATATGAAATCGGTTGGCTACAGGCGGAATTGATGTACCTGACCTTCATAGAGAAGGTCAGTGGGCTTCCAAATAGCACAGTTATCACATCTTAGAGCACAGTACTGGATGACAGGAGCTAGAATTTCCTGAAGGTGACATCGCCTCCCTCAAAGACGCAGATACGTCTCGCTGACGCGTAGCAACAGTCTCGAAACCGAGGTCCGGAGCTTCATGTAGAACATCAACCGAAGAGCGTGGTGATTACCAGTCTCCTAGCTTGGTAGCCACTCTGCGAAATAGCTGATGAAATTGTGCCAACAACTACGACACAAAAATACGATATTGGTTGCTCTTAACTGACCACTGATTTAAAGAGGTCATAACTTCTTCCACAAACTTCCCGACTGGAGGATAATACATACACTGCTCTTCCAAGTATTTTAAATATCTAACATGTCTTCCTACTAACCTGAGTACTTACAAGTAAGTAAGGTACTAATTTATCTACTACCGCTGTTCATCAATTTATCTACGATTGGTGGCGTGTTAGGTAATAGCGACAAGGCCTCTGACAAAACCAGCAGTTTTGTTTACTAGCACAAATGGAAATAAAATGCATATCCAAGCAACTGGCCCTAATGATAATCAGTAGAATGTGAAAACCCCCAGCTTATTACTTCTACAAGACGAGGACCTTAGTTTTGTTTTCAAAACTGACATCATTTTGTAAGAACAGATGTGCAAGACAAGCACACTTTTGAGTGTTCAAACATGGCATTTGAAAGAGTCTTTTTCTCTGAAAGACTAACTTTTCTTTTAAATTTTTGACGTAACTGAGGTGGAGACAAGGTCGTCAACTGCGCAACGTTTGACTGTAAACGACACAATTGCGCAAGACCAGGTAATTCTTCGTATCAATCTTTAGTGGGCAGAATAGTATGCTATCGGACTACCTTAGTTCTTGCAGTGGTTATAAAAGCTTAGTTTTTTTCCCAAACTTGAACATGAAAGGAGCCTCTGCAGATTTCCGGTGACGACATCTATTGGGAGTATTAATAGAACAGTTGTTTTCAGCGTTAACTTGATTATCCATGATTATCCTGAAATATTTGTGTCAAGCAAGAACTTCAAATGGAAGGTCATTTATGAATTTATTTACTGGTAAAATTGCAAGGACATCCGTAACAGATGTAGGATAAAAATCAAAAATGACAGAGTAAACTACCAGACACGTCTGTGTGGAATCCTGGAGCGAAACTACGGGGTATTGTACTCACTGATAAACCAGAAAGGTAATATTACACAGCATACGGGACCCTAGCAGCCTAGAGATTCTTCACACTAACTCTTAGGTAGCAAACTTGCTAGCTCGGGCATTTCGTTATTACATACTTCATAATTCGATTTCAAATGGCTGTCAACTTGGTTTTCTTCCTGGAAGGTCATGTAACTTGTTGATAGCTTGGAATAGCTGGATTCTCTCTGTTGAGCAGAGGAAGCCCATTCACAATGGTTTAATCGACTTTTCTAAGGCCTTTGGTAGGGTAAATTATGATATCCTATGTAAGAAACTTCAGCTTTTAGGTGTACGCGAAAAGTTACTAATTTGACTTAGAAACTATCCTTACACTGTTTTGCGGTCTGATTGGTTGTTAACGCTGAGTGGTGTCTCAGTGTTTTATTCTGGGTCCACTGCTGTTTCTTGCTTTTATAGATGACCTACCAGGATTCCTCAATTCTCATTCACTAATCTAAATATTAAGAGGAAAATACTAGAGTCAACCGATATCCCTATCCTCTAGGAGGGCTTTTCCAAAATCCTAGATTGGATTATACAAAACCTGCACCCTCTCAACTCGAAGTGTAGGATAATGAGTGCTGACAAAAATATTTCAAGTTTTTTCGCTGAATGAAATAAACATCTGTCACTGAGGCACAGAAAAAGATTTGGGAGTTATTTCAAGTGATACATTTGGAACTTCGGCCCATTGTCAACTTGCAGCCAACATGGCTTGTGGAGTCCTAGGGTTTCTTTCTCCAACCTTAGGAAGTCTAACTCCAGCCCTTTTCACCACAGTGTATGAACTTTATATTCGTCCTTATCTTGAAAAAAATTTCGCTCGTTATATCCTCATGTTTGAAGAATATAGCCATCCCAGGACGGATTCAGAAAAGTTATGAAGAAAGTGATCGGGTTACGGTGCAAATCTTTCTTGGATCGCTTAGTTGCTCTTAAGCTGCATCCAGTACAGTAGCCGAGGATCAGAGGGGATATGATCCCAATGTATCACATTGCTCGTAATCCTCTTTGTCCCAAAAGATTCCGCTTGAGCTTTAATCAAAAACGCCGCCTTAGGAGCCACCCTTTAAGAGTAAAGCCTGGAAAAGCGCGTGCAAACATCCGTACTAACTCGTTTGCAGTTGGAGTTTGTAAACTATGGAACTCCCTACAAAAACTGTTACAGCCCCTTGCTCTGATACTTTCAAAAGGAGGTTAGATGCACATTTAGAGTCTTGCGATACTGATTGGCTTCACTCGAGCTTTCTGTCGTCTACGGATCAGGGGAGCAACAGTACCCATAGAGACCAGATTAGTTAATAATCGATTATTTGTGTCCTTTCAGGTTTCTCGGAACCAGGAAGACAACTGTGACCGTTTCAAACCAAGAACGTGCTCCAATAAGACAGAATTAAAACTCAAGGAACCATTGTTCACTAATTCTCCAACACGTTTGAAATTTGAGTCACCCGTTAACGACTATGAAAAAGAACGGGTTCATCCCTCTATCATTTGACTGTGACTTTTGGATATCTTTTCGATCGTCACCAAGGTGATCAGTTTAAGAGAGAGTAAAGAAATCAGATAAATCAATATTTAAGCTACTAAGTGAAATGAGAGGGGCTAAATTTAATTCTAGCCCTAGTCAGATCACCTCTTCTTACAATAAGGTGAGGAGAATGCTCTAGCTTTGCTAGTCGCTCTTCATACTAGATAAAACATCACTAGTTTAGTGACTACCTTTGGGGCCCGTTATATTGTATCAGCTTCCTTTTTGAAGTATAAACTAACCGCCTAAATACAATAACCTAGATGAAGCTTTACAAAATTGTGGTATAGAATCCCTAACATGTCTTCATCATAGCATTTGATTGCTCCATGAAATGAACAAGACATGCGAAATGCTTTTGCTGCAGGGGCATTATAATTTACTATCATCTTTTGCTCGTGGTTCACAATGACTTTTTTTTCTAAAACGCGGGTATTGGTTGGACATTCGTCAAGTATCCATCAAATGAGTCCTTCTAGCACTTTCACTGAAATTGATTTCCAGGCTTCATCGTTTCAACCATTCAGGCAGGTCATAGGCATCAGCTTGGATTGCACTCGTATCACCACAAGTGATACTGCATATCCTAATATCGTCAGCGAATAGCTGTGACGATAACTCGAGGATGTCTGTTATTTATCGGACGTAAAGAAAGGAGAGTGGTAGTTCGAGGATAATGCGCTTATAAACACCTGGTTACAGATTGCTACACATGGTTCCATTCAAACTTACTTGTTATCTCCTCCTCTTGTACAAGTATTCTGTAATCCAGGCTTAAACCCTGTTGCCGATACCGAATTTGCGAAGTTTCTTTATCCAAGCTATGTATAAAAAAGGCCTTGTTAAAGTCAATAAGTAGCGTAACCATAGGGAGTTAATTGTTCTCAGCCTCAACCTAGTTGTCCCTCCCCGGGAGTATTTTCTTTCAAGCAAGGGTGTCCAGCCTGGAAGCCTTTTTGGTTGTGTTAGTAAGTTCCGTGTCCCTGAGTAACTGTTCTATCACCTCCCTTTAACGACTTATTATAGTATCCTTCCAATCCTTAGAGAGCTATCTGAAATAAAGACCTTTAGAATAGCACATGAACAACAGCAACAGAACCCTTGGATGTATTCCATCTGGTCCTGGTTACTTTTGGGTTTTAGGTTATTGAGCAGTTAGAAAACCGTCCCCTCATGATTTTAACAGGTTACATGAGATGAAAGCTGATAACATTATCGATACACAAAATCCCATCAAAATTATCAGCTGGGAACACTAAGCTAAACTAGTTAGAGAAACTTTTTGTCTTAGTTAAATTCGATTCTGCCAAATCTTTCACGTCACTATGTGATCCCAAAACAAATTCTAGCTTTGACACATTTTGTCCTTTTGTTCTTTGAAGATGATGCTTTAATTTTTACCGTTGATGGAACACAGTAAGATTGTCTCTTCTCACCTTTTTCCATTTCTGCTATTCATTTTGTTCTTCAACGCTTTTGTGTAGCATTGTAGCCTCTAGTGTAGGTTGTGCTACTGATTCTAAAGGTTTATCAGATTCCGTGTTCACAATGTTGGTTTGTTTTCCCTGAAAGGAAATAGTAATGAATTTCCATTCACATACTATCCAGAGAATATAAATCACTTGGAACTACATTTGCAGTCGCACATGAGTAGACTTATTTGTTATGCCATGAATTGATGACATTTCTTCGCCTTACAACTGTGGCTCATGAGTCTGAGTGATTGATTTTCAGCCAACAGGTTACAAGTTCAAAATCCAATCCAAGTAACAAGGTTTTGTGAGAAAATACAACTCATCATCAGTCAGAACTCTTGAAATATGAATTGAAAGTGATCGATAATATAACCTAGCAATGAGGACTCATGCACTGAACAAGAAGCTACACCTTAATGTGTAGAAGTTATTGATAATGCTTAAGTATCATTCGATGACGCAGGGTTTTTGAGTCATGACCTACTGAATGAAGAACGACTGTACACGCTGGTGATTGGATAAGTCATGAAAATTCCTCTGCCCCAGTTTAAACTGATTTTACCATCAGAAGTAACCTACTACTGTTGGTCACTCTTCAGCAACTTTTTCAGCTGTTGAGAGGTAGCATTCTGTGGTTCAATAGGAGTAAAATCTTTGGCCCAAAAGGTATAGGGGAATTCAATTATTGCTTAAAGGCTGATATACGGACATAATTTCTAAGATTTTCTGGCGGAGTCTATCTAACTATTGAATCAACTTAATGGTGTTCTGGATAATAAGCAATGAGAAGAAACATTCTGTCGATTTCAAACTGGAAACCACAATGAACTGAACTACTTTTCCGTAGCTTTTAGATTTAATTTCAGTTGGCAAAATATCAGGGATTAATGGGACTGAAGTTTAGCGATAAACATTTATTGGGATATGAATGAAGGGTTTAGTAAAAAGAGTGAATTTAGGGGTTCTAATCTGTTTTAGGTAACTGATAGCCTAGACATCCAACTCATAGCTGTTAAACATTAAAAATACACTGAGATATTCTTTTAAAGTGTTATCAATACTGGCATCAAAATCAAACCTTTTTATTGACTTATAAAGTCTTCAGAAGGATTACCTGGAGCTGCTTCATCAATTATCGAAAAACTGTCTATTTGTGTTATAATTCCGCCGAAGAGTTTGAAGAATGTTAAGATTTGATCATGCATCAGTATAAAATAATAATAAGTAACTAGTTCACTAGTTACTAGCCGGTACTAAGCCGGATAAAGAGAAAAGGTTGGGCATAGGGCTAGCAACCCCACCCTGTAAAAACAATTTAACCGCTAAAGAAACTTCAAAGCACGAAGAAAATATATAAAATGAAGATAAGCTTATTCGTCGCTGAAATCGGAGAGTCGAAATGACGCCGGTTGGGGAAAGCCTTCCGGGAGCTAATTAGCCGATGTGTCTTCTCACTCGGTGAAACCAAAAGTAAACATGGGGACATGGAAAGTTCATATAATGTTTGAAGCTAACAAAGCTGCCTAGATTGCGAAAGGGATGAGAGGGTATAGGATAGAAGTGCTAGGAATCTGCGAAAGTAGATGGAATGGAAGTGG